GATCTCTGGCTTCTGAATGGCATCGCCGTGGGAGGCTGAAGCTGGAAATCTGGCTGACACCGGACTCTGCTGGTCAACATTTAGGGAAAACAGCCTGTCATGGGCAGAAGGCGTGTGTCCTCCCAAAGTCCCTGTGCGGAAGCCCTAATCCCCACATGGTGTTTGAGGCGAGGCCTTTGGGGAGCAACTAGGCTTACATGAGGTTATGAAGGAGGACTCCCGTGATGGGATCAGTGTCCTCCTAAGGAGAGGAGGAGGCCAGCACTGAGCTCCCTCCAGGTGAGGACACATAGAGGGGCCTCGCCAGGACCCCCCATGCCGCCCCCGGATCCTGGGCCTGCCTCGGACCTGTGAGAGGGTAAGGCTGTTGTTTGTCACCTAGTCTATGGTACTGCATCACAGCAGCCTGAGCTCAGTCATAGCCCCCCTGTGGGAGGCGTAGGGACCTGCTGTCAGTGGTGTGACAGAGTGACTGCTGTGTACTGAGCAAATGAGGGTGCTAGCACACTGGGCAAAGGGCCAACACGTCGCATGCACTTCCTCTTCCCAAAAACCCATAAGGAAGGTTCTAGAAGAACCTCCCCCCACCCCCTCCTCGATAGCAGATGGGAAAAGTGAGACCTTTTTGGGGCACCGGTTAGGGCAGGAGGGCAGAAACGGCCAGCCATGGTCTGGGCTTACAATGGGGACAGAAATGTTGTCTGTGTTCTTGTTCAGCGGCTGGTGCAATGAGGGAGACCCTCCCTGGTGGGGGAGATCAGCCAGGGGCTCCGAGAAGAGGGAGATGCCAGCCACATGAGAAAGGATGCCCAGGAAAGTTGCATAGACATGAGTGTGGCCTTGACACGAGAAAGGGCAAATGCAAGAGGACTCACAGGCCACTCACAGGTCAATGAGACATCGGGAGGAAGATCCGTGCCTGGTCCTCAGGAAACAAAAAGCCAGAGGACCTGGGAGAGAGAAAGCCAGCAGTTGGGCCTCCCCATCCTCCTGGAGCAGAAAGAAGGCCCCAGTGAAAGGGCCCGAAATGGCTCACTCAGTGGGTGGCAGGAACAAGGACCTGTGTCCACAGAGCATTCAGAATCCTCCTGCAGGGGAGGCCTGCCCATCCTTTCCAAGCTGGAGAAGCCAGCAACACCCCAGGAGGCCCAGGGCAGTCTGCACAGCCATGTGGCTGGACTCAGCCCTATCCTCTCCTGTACACCCAGAGAGCCAGAGGGAGAGCAGCCAGAGCACATCAGAGAACTCAGACTCCTGACCTCCGCTTTGCCGTGACTTTGCTTGACCTTGGCCAAGTCGCTCCTCACCCTCTCTGGCCGGAGATCAGGGAGCTCTCCACCTGCTTTCTCCTGGGCACAGTGAACCAGATGGGCTTTGAAGTCCTCGTGGGCACAGAGCCCTGAGCAGAGGGAGCAGGGGACCCAGACCGAGCACAGAGCCAAGGGAGAGAAGGGCCTGCGGAGATGTGAGTTTGCTATCGCAGGGGAAGACCGCCCTCAGCACTTCAAGGGCAGGACAGAGTGGGGACATCCTCTCCCCCTCCACCAGGCAGCAGGGGGAACGCTCCAGCTGCTGGTAAATTGAGCCATACTCCTGCCTCCCTGTTCTCACCTCCGGCCGAAGGAGGAGAATTGATCTGGGGAGTTGCAGGCACACGGCCCCTCCAGGCCTGTGGTGAACCCAGGACCCCAGCCTGCTGCCGGGGACTTTTCTCAGAGCACGTCAGCGGCTGCCGCTGGCTGCAGAGCGTCTGCCACAGTTTCCATTTTCGCTTTGTGAACCGATTCCCCTCTCGCCCCACCTTCCACTTTGCCCAAGTTGCACAGCAGCCTGAAAATGCTGATGGCTTAACTGGTTTAATTTTTTCCCCAGCAGCCCTGAGGGGTTTTAACTCTTTCCACCAGCAGAAACCCTGCTTTTGGAGTTGAATGTTTAAACTCTCACTGGGAGACTCATAAATATTCGGAGTCACTCTCTCCCTCTCTGTTTGATTAGGAAATGAGCCTTTAACTCAATGTAATCCCCAAGCCATTAACAAAAAAGCCCTCAACAGCTTCACTATTAGAATTTCACTCCTAACCCGCTGAGGATTGAATTAGATTAACATAACTACCCACAATCTGAGTTTATTTTCTGTGCCAGATAGAAATGTGTTTTTCAGGGAGAAGGGGGAGGAGAGGGGGTGGGAGGGAGAGAGAGCAGGAGGATAATGAAATGTAAAAATAGAGATAAGAACAAGATGGACAGATACACTGCAGAAGTGAGGTGATGGGGAGGAAGAGCTGTGCCAGGTCTTTGGTTGAAAAGTCCTGCCAGCTGCCATTTTTTGTTGAGGGGGCATTTGGAGAGACCCCAGTTTATGTGAAATTGTTTGAATTAGGGGAGCGCTTTCCAGTAGTTGCAGTTCCTTCTTCCTGGAGATTGATGGTCCTCTGCACCTGAGCCTGCTGTATTCCAAACACCTGTTCATGGGCCCCACTGTCCCCAGTTTGGGAGGAGGCTGGGGCTGGGCATCCATGTGCTCAGGGGGAGGGAGGGGGATACATAAATGACAGCACGTGCACACAGGCAACCATGCACTGACATTCGGAGACATAAACAACAAGGATGGAATGGGTGAGATTGCGCAGAAGCCACAGACAGCCCCATGACCAATTGCATTTAAAAAATCAGTTTGGAAAAAAGATGGGTTTGATGGGAGCTCAATCCACATAAAATTAATCCTTGTTGAAGCAGAAAGTAAGTAATCAGAGGCTGCCTTATGCAAATATCTTGAAGTTTTCCCCAATTGCATCCCTAGCACGAATCCCAAAAGGGAAAACCCACATCCTGAAATGAGGATGAGAGACAGGCCCCCCATCACACTGCCAAACAAGCCCCCACCCCACCCAAACGCATCCACAGGTTGCCGAGCGAAGGAGCAGTTCTCGCCTAAATGTTCCAACAAATATTCTTCCCTCTCAACGCGAATGCTGGTGAGAACTGGGAACTTGCTCAGAAATACAGGCGTCTCTCCCGCTGCAGGTCAGCTGGGGCCTGTAGGCTCCGGTGTGCCGGTGGAGGGGTGAGGAGATGGCCTGTTCTTGTGTTAAAAGGTTAAAACGTGCCACACTTTCTCTAAAAGGCCATTGAGATCTGAAAGTCCTAGGGTAGCTCCAGTCTGCAAACAGCTGACTGCTGTGATTTCTGAACGCAATGTCTCAATCACTCGAAGCACTTGAGCTTTAATTAACAATAACCCACCAAATCCCACTTCAGCATTATTGTGGGAGCCTTAGCAGGATCTGTTTAGCAAAACAGAGTCCCTGGAAGAGAGTAGCAGGAGTGCTGCATGTATAATATGCTCAACTCCTGCTTATGTTTTCCTTCATTTCTTGGATTCTACTTACCAGGCTAGATTTTAAATAGTGCCATTCCCTCCCCCCTCCATTTGCCAACAAACTCCTTATTCTGAGGGTCTCCACCCATGGACGCAGGCTCACTACCTGGACGTGCAAAGTTGACCTTCTAATTTCTTACTCCTTCCTGATACCCATGCTCCCTTCCCATAGAAGAGATGAATGGATTGAAGACAACAAGAGGCCAAAATAAAATGCTGGTGAACGTAAAGAACCCAGAGAAGGAAGTTAAAGTTCCTAAAGGTCAAAACTGAGATCAAATTGTCTCTAAACAGACCTGTGTGTCCACGGTTACTTCCCTTTCATCAAGTTAGATTTGCTGATAAAACTATCTTCTCTTTAATCAAAGGCAATCCAGACATATCTGCTTTGTTTACTGCTTTTAAATTGTTGGAGAGATTTCTCTGTTAGGGCATTGTTTTCCCAAACAAACCGAGACGTAGTCCTTAGCGATGCAGTGTATGTAGGGTGAGCATTGTACCAGGAAATAGAAACCCAGGCATTATTAGACTTGTAAAAGAAAGAGGTATGTTTTTAAAGTTTTACATAATATACATTAGACATTGGATTTTTTCCCTAAAAATTTAGGGTTATTATTTCTTTGTAAGTAACATACAGCCAACCTCCCCAAGGGCAGGATTTTTACTTAATACTGTGCATTCTCCAGAAACTCAAGTCCCCAGGGGCCCACAGGAAGCCTGCGATGTGTTAGCCATGCGGGCCACCGGACAATGTCTGGGGACGGCCATCTCTGGGAGCCACCAGTGCGCTCACACAGCCTGCACCCCGACTGTCTGAAACAAGCACGGCTTTGACAAGAGCCGTGATATTAAGTTTCTTCCTTGGGAAGGATGCGGAGCGATGCCTCAGCAACACTGCACACCTGGCTGCATCCTTTCAGAGCCTCTTCCTCCCCCAGCCCCCACTCAAGTTCCCCTTTCAGAGTGAAGGAAAGACACCAAATGAGCCAGCCGACGAACACCTGGGAGGCCAGACAAATAGTCAGCTCCCTCTGGACTTCTCAAAGCAAAGCCACTCCACGGAGCAGAGAGCAAAACGGTCCTTTTCCTGGGAGGCACCGCGGCAAAGCTGGCCTCGGGGAATGTCGAGACTCCCGGACCCTGGAAGCTCCCAGGCGGAGCCCAGACCTTCGGGGAGCCAGCCCTCCATCGTCACCTGTCCTGTGTAACCTTCCCAGCTCGCCTACGCCTGAGCTGCCAGCAAATAAAAGTTTTCACGCCGGGAGACATACCCACCCGCTGAGCCGCATGTAAACTTTCCCTTGCCCTTTTGATTTACTCCCTTCTTCTCGGCCAAAACAAACACCACGAACAGGGAACCTACTGATTCCAAACGAGTGTGAGAAGCCGGCCCACCAGCCATTCCCGGTCCCTCTGACCTTCCCGTGACAGCCTGGGACCCGCAACGTGTTCCCCTCGGCCGCCCAGGGATGCTTCACCGGCCGAAAAGCGGGAGGAAGGAGCAGGCACGGGGAGATATTTTTATCCATTTCCAAAAGAGAGAGGGGTGTGTGCGGGCGGTGGGGGTGAGGAGAGGAGGGTATGGCAGGTTTAGAGCACGCGGGAGAAGTTGGGTACTTACATGCTGGGGCCGGGAGGACGGGGTGAGTGGAATGTCTGCCCCTCAGGTGCTTCCAGTTGCTGATGACTCGCTGCTCAGCTCCTCCAACACCAGCTGACAGTCCCCTGTCTGTGTCTCTTTGTGACTAAGGACACAGTACTCCCAACCTATAAATAGATCCGACTCCGTGATTGATATAACAGGCAGCTGACAAAAAAAAAAAAAAATTCCCACAACCATAACCAGGTCTTAAACAAAACAGCCAAAGGCTCTAGACTTTCAACTCCGCCGAGCCCCATGCAGACCACACGCTGGAAAGGGGGAGGAAAATGTAGAATAAAAGGGGGGAGGGCCTGGGGAAAAGTATGGGAGTCGGTTATTGCTCCAGAGGTGGAACAGTCGCTTGGGGTCACCGGAGAGCCCATGGCTGATGGTGGGCAGAGAGAGCCGGGGAGGAGCCGGGCGGAGGTCCTGACCCTGCGGAGGAGAGGCCCCAGATCCTGAGCCCCTGGCTCTGCAGGGCTGGAGTCAAAGTGCCGACTTGGGAGCATTCGTCAGCACAAATGCTTTCCACGAAAGTTTCCGTCCCTCCTGCCAGGAGGAAGGGGGAGCAGATAGAGCCTTCCTAGCTCAGGGGCCAGGCAGGCTTCTCAGGACCTGCCGAAGGGCTGAGGGTAGGGGTGGGGATGCAGTCAGGAGTCACCTGTGCCTGGGGAGGCAGGTCCAGTGGTTCCCGCAGCAGCCCGTAGTGGTTTTTTTTTTTTAAAAGGACGGGATGACATTCATGTCAGAAGAATTGCCCAAGATTGAAAGGCCTTGGGGGTGTTGGTGTCTCTGCTTTTCCCAAAAGCTTTTCTATGAGACTGAATTGCCTGGGAAAGTTTCTTCCTGGGGGAAGGAGCCCCGGTCTTTGGGATTCTGGAAGGTCTCTAAGAAACACTGCCCGCCCCCATTTCTGCAAAGGTGGGGCAACTGCCCTGGGGCAGGCCAGCCCAACTCTGAAAGCTGAGCCACAGGCAAAGCTTCCAGAAGATGGAAGAGTTGCAGAGAAAGGACAGAAGTCTGGGCTGTCCAACAACTAGCTAGGTGAGCTCCTGCTCGCCCCGGACCTCCCCGCCGCCATCGGAGACCTACCTGCACTGAACACACCAGGGCCACCTGCCTTGATGATCTGGTGACGACTGCCCATGGATTTAGGTGGAATTTCGGGTGACGCTGCCCCTTCTAGAGGTAAGGGATAGGTACATTACAATCCATAAAACTTCCTGCTCTCTGATGTTTAAAGAAGTAAAAGTTGAACTTTTTCTTCCTATTAGATCTAATTCTTTACTCTCCAGGCTAACAGAAGAAGGAGCGGTACCCAAGCTGTTGAAGTCAAAGCCGTTTAATATGTAGAACCGAGAGCATTCCCACGAGTATCCTGCTGTTGGAACACAATCTCCAAGAGAGAAAGCCCACGTGTGTCTTACTCACCATTACATCCCCAGTGCTACCATGTTACCCGAGACACGGTCAGACTCTCCTGAGTATGGACTGACTGATGGAATGAATGAATGAATGAGTGAATGAGTGAATGAATGAGTGACGCCTAAGATACCCATCATTTGAGTCACTCCTGTCTAGAGTCATATTCCCTCTAATCTATATTCTGAGAGGTGGAGAATTGGGAGTGAGACCAGGCAGATATAGCCTGACCGACCCATCGTTTATCCATAGCCTCATTGTGAGCCGCTGTGCACAAAATCCATGTGCCCAAAATCCATGTGCACAAAATCCTGTGCCCTCTGTCAGCCCTGAGCGCACACAGGTTGCTCGGTGAGTTTAGTTGCTAGGAAGGTGGGCAACCCTGTTGAGAGGGCTCCAGGCTTCCTGTGCTGGTGGCTGCAGCTGTAACCCCTTCGGCACACACTCAACTGTTCACTGCCAGGCTCCTTTTCAGGGCAAAACTGCTCTTCTCTGGCAAACCGAGGATTTCCCTTCATTATTTGCTTTCTTTTAAAATTCTCCAGCTGTGCACGCTGGGATCCTCCCTGGCCCTCGCTGATCTCGCCAGAAGCCATGCCTACAAGGTCAGTGTCTTATCTAGTAAGAGCACTGGGGAACCGGGGGAACTGAGCCATTCCTTCCAGAGGTGTCCTCCTTGACAGCCCTGGGGGACCGTGACAGGCTTTCCACCTCCAGGCCGATCTCTCAATCACGCACAGTCTCGGGCTCAGCTCTCCTGGCCAAGCCAAACCTTGGTGTCTGTGGCCCTTGACTTTCAGGAGGCCCTGGAGCTTCCCCTTCTCGCCATAAGCCTCTCCGGCTTCCAGGGCCCCCTGGGCAGAGGCACACACTGATGTTAAAGCGCGGACGCTGGATTAGGACATCAGGTTGGGATCGTGCCTCTTCCCGTAGTATTGGGGAATGGGTGGAAGCCCTCAGCTTCTCTGTGCTTCAGTTTCCCTGTCTGCAACATGGGGATTCTAAGTGTCTACCTCCTTAGATGGGCATGATGACAAATGACTCAAGGCAAGGAGATGCTTAGAAGAGTCCCTGGTAGCATGACCAGCCCCAGGCATGCAGCCTGTGTCATTCCGGAGGCGGCCCCTGCCTAGCTTAGCCTCATTACTTGAACTTGCTTTGATTCCTCCCCAAAAGCTTGAGGTAGTCCTGGCAGGGCAAGCACCTGATGGTAGGAAGTGCTCTGGCCTGCAGAGCCTGGCCAGAGGTCAGAGGTCAGGAAGAGAACACTGTGTAGGAACTTATGAGGTTTTGGTGTGTGAGCCCAGGGGCAGGTAAGGCAAGGACAGGGGGCCCAGCGGACCCTGAATTTCTCCTCCAACCACCCAAAGGGCTTTTTAAAAAGTGACAAAAGTATTGCTGCAACCCCAATTATTTAACCTTTTATTCCCTGAGGTTATGAACTCTACCTCCTCCTTCAAAGTCCCTGAGTTGAAGTCTCAGGGATTTCTTGAGTTTTCTGTACTACCTTTTTTCTAGCATGCAATATATACTGTTTCTTATTATTATAAAACTAGAGGCCCGATGCACAAAATCCATGCAAGAGTAGGCCTTCCCTTCCCTGCCTGCCGTCACCGGCTTTCCCTCTGGCACCCAGGACCTGGGCTTCCCTTGCAGCCCTGGCTTCATCTGGAAGGTTATCCAGAAGGATGTCTGGTCTAATTAGCATATTACACTTTTACTATTATAGATACACATACTACCAAGTTCCCCATTTTAACCATTTTACAGTGTACAATTCAGTGGCATTTAACATACTCACAGTATTGTGCAACCATCCCCACCATTTAGTTCCAGAACATTTTCATCTCCCCAAGGAGAAGCTTTACCCACTAAGCAGCCACTTCCTACTTCTCCTTCCCAGCCCCCCACAACCACTAATCTGCTTTCTGTCTCTGTGGGTATGCCTGGCCTGGACATTTCTTTTTCTTTTTCTTTTTTTTTTAAATATATCTTATTGATTTTTTACAGAGAGGAAGGGAGAAGGATAGGGCGTTAGAAACATCGATGAGAGAGAAACATCGATCAGCTGCCTCCTGCACAACCCCCACTGGGGATTGCTCACAACCAAGGTACATGCCCTTGACCGGAATCGAACCTGGGACCCTTCAGTCCGCAGGCCGACGCTCTATCCACTGAGCCAAACCGGTCAGGGCTGGCCTGGACATTTCATGTAAATGGAATCAATGTGTGGCCTGGCCTCCTCCTAACCTTTAACCCTGTGTGTTTGTCCTATAGAAACAAGGACCCTGACCATTGTGCAGCCTTTGTTTTCTGAGGTTCACCTGCCCCTCATTTGTTGGGCCCACCTCTATTCTTGCCCCCGTATCTTGGGGTAAGCCCCTGGCCCAAACATTCGATGACTATTTGTGGATTCACATGTGATATCCTTGCAGCCACCCAAGGGGAAGGTTATTCTTCCCCTGTATTCGTTCCCATGCTACCAAGACCTGGGCTTACAACAGAAATGTGTTGCCTCCCAGCTCTGGAAGCCAGGCGGCCCAGATCAAGGTGTGGGCAGAGTTGGTTCCTTCCCAGGGTGTGGGGGCGGATCAGCTCTGAGCCTCCCCCCTGGGGGCTGCTGATTTGCTAGGGAATTTGCTGTCCCTTGGCCTGTAGTAGCACAGCCCCGATCTCTGCCTTCTACTCACCTGGTGGTCCAGTCCTCCTGTGTGCATGTCGGTCTCTGTGTCCACAATTCCCTCTGGACACAGTCATACTGTGTCCCATTAGAGACCCATCCTAATGACCTCTTCTTAAATTGATCATTTGCAAAGACCCTGTTTCTGAATAAGGTCACTTCACAGGTACGGGGAGTTAGGACTTCAACATCATTTGGGGGGAGTTAGGACTTCAACATCGGAGCATTCATTCCCTTTCTACAGAGGAAGCAATGGAAACTTCATGAGTTTTGCACTCGGCATGAGACAGAGCTGACTACAAGTGCGTGTACCAGGAAAAAGACAGGGACAGAGGAAGGTGAGGCCCTGACAGCCCCTCTCCGTGCCTTGGGGACGCTGGCTCCTATCCTGGCTCGGTGCCACTGGACTCCATTTGGCTTGCTCCAGCGTCATTAGTCCCCGCACATCAAGGTGACTTTATACTGTTTACAAGGGCCACTGAAGGTACAGTCCTCCCTGCCCCCGCCCGCTTATCAACTCATTTAACTTTCAGAGCTCCCTAACAGCCTGCAGCCGGGAGGGGTGGGCAGGGACCCCGCAGCCCAGGGACGACCTGCCTTCGTTTTATCTGCAGAGAAAAATCTATCTGCTTGGGAATAGACCTAAATACAACACATCGGCGCAGCCAGGCCATTAATCATCTTCCACCAGGACGCAGGACACCGGGGAGCAGTCATCATGGGCACTGGCTCTGCACAGGAGGGCCAGGTGGAGCCAGGGACACTGCCCACTCTTCTGTCTGGAGGGCATTCTCCAGCGATGGGGGTAACACGGCTCGAGGCTGGTGACATCTTGCAAGGGAGGAGGGGTGGGAGGGGCAGCCTGACCCCATCCTAGGTGGTCAGGCCTGAAAGGAGGTGCTCCACTGAAGCAAATACCCCCACTCTCTCCACCACCACCGGATACGAAACACCTCCTGACCAGGAACACAGTTTGCCAGGGACCAGCCAGGCCCAGCAATTTGACACATGCCTACAACCCCCTTGGGGCATCCCATACTCTTCTTAGAGCAGCGGTTCTCAACCTGTGGGTCGCAACCCCTTTGGGGGTCGAACGACCCTTTCACAGGGGTCGCCTAAGACCATCGGAAAACACATATATAATTACATATTGTTTTTGTGATGAATCACTATGCTTTAATTATGTTCCATTTGTAACAATGAAATTGAGGGTCACCACAACATGAGGAACTGTATTAAAGGGTCGCGGCATTAGGAAGGTTGAGAACCACTGTCTTAGAGGAAGGGGAGGTGCCAGTATAGGGGACTAACAGGAGACCTGAGGCGAAGCCAAGTCAATAAATCAAAGCCCTGCCCCCAGACCCCCGGGTCAGATTTTTTGCCATTCCTTTCCCCCAAGGATTGACCCTACCTGCTGCCCAACCAGCCTACACAGCATCCCATAAACAAGCCGTCCTTGCT